ATTAAAAAGATCACTTTGCAGTGAACAAGCTGTTGAAAACTTCTCAAACATTTTATCTTGCATAAATATAATATGTCAACAGAAAAAATGCTTGCTTTGAATCGTAAGTTCCGGTTTTCTACAAATATTGAGAGCTATTTCAATGCATAAATCATTGTATTAAAAAAACTTACAGATTGCTGTTATTCCACACACATGACAAAAGAGGAGACATAAAAATATCAGGAAACTCTGCATGTTACTTGCCAAACGCTACCGATCTGTAAGATAAAATTGAACTAATAGGGGTGCTGCGTAGTTTAAAACGGTACGAACCAGGAAGATTTAAAAACAATCCCTTTTTTCAAACCAAGTAAAGAAGAGTAATCAAAAGGTTGGCTCTGTTTTCATAGTGGTGCGTATATTATGAAAATGAAGTGGTGCGTATATTATGAAAATGAAGTAATTTGATTTTTTGCAGGGCACGATATTAAACTCTAGGATACAAAAATAATGAAACCTGAGATTTCGAAAAGGGCAGGTTTCATCTCAAAAAGTAATGTTAAAAGAAACCTTTATACACTTCAATTGGACATATTCATTTGTTATCAATATTGTAAAAAAAAAAGTCTTGTGCCCTTTTTGGAAAATAATATTTAATTATCCTTGCGCAGGGTCGGAAGATGGCATATCCCTTAATATTCATATTAGTGAATTTGATAGTAATTTGATATTGAATTGTAATTTGATTCAGATTTGTTTACATTCAACAGTGCTTGTTTCCATGAACAAAAAAAAAAAACCCCAATAATTATGCAGTCACTTCTATTTAAAACTGAAACACAAAAAGGACATCTTTTTGTAAAAATCATACCAGGAAGTAAAAATGGCGTTCACAGTTTAACATCTCATACGTTTGCTGATGAATGCATAGTCTTTTAGATTACAATCGAATTCCTTAGGTACATAAAGTCTAGGTGTTTTAGTCTAAGTATATATATGCCATTGTGTATTTTTTATCCTACGCTTTAACTGACAGCCGGGGATATTAATTTCGGTCTGTCCGCCCTTCCGAGTTTAATTCGTTTTAACAAATTTTTAAATTCGTTATAACGAAATCAACAAATTTGTTATAATAGATGAAATTCATTATAACGAATTCAAAGAAATTGTCATAATAAATTAAATTTAAATTTAACTCGTTTCAACAGATTCTAAAACTTGTTATAACGAATTGAATTCGTTTAAACGAATGCGATAATTAGTTATAATGAATTGATTTCGTTAAAACGAATTTGAAAAGTTGTTATGTCGAATTCATGTATATATTTCTATAGGCCCTGATTATTGCATTTGATTAAACGAATTTAATTCGTTATAACAAACTTTGGAATTTATTTAAACGAATTTATATTTGTTATAACAAACTTTAGAATTTGTTCAAACGAATTTAATTTGTAATAACAATTTTTTGCGAATATTTTTACGACTTTAATTCGTTATAACATATTAAAGAATTCTTTATAATGAATTCAACAAATTTGTTATAACAGATTAAAATCGTCATTACAAATTCAAAGAAAATGTTATAATGAATTAAATTCGTTTTAACATATTCGACAATTCATTATATCAAATTTCAAAAATATTTTTTATAGGACATAAATGGGCTTCCGTAGTAATCTAAGAATTCGCAAATATTTTTATCGCCCCAGTCTTAGTTTATAGAAAAAAAATTGAAAAAAATTTCCCCCAAAGAACTATGAATCGAAAAAAAGAATTTTTGCAGATAAACACTCAGTTCTAACTACAACTCATTTTGATGATGTTTCGTAAGAAAACGCAAACATGTCACGTGGATTCCCGATCAAATATGAATCTGTTTTTCTTCTTGCATAGAACACAAACTGTCATCTTCATTTGTATAAGTATATAGAAGTACATTTCCTATTTACATGTGTATATAAGATCCCTCATCTTTGACAGGTAAAATAAAATAGCATTAATTGAAAAGTACTATCTGTAATTTTATTTTTTTTTTATATTGTACTTTTGGTGTATGATTTGCAGTTTATTGCAGAGAAGGTCTTCATTACGATGGATTTCCAAATAATCAATCTTAACCAGGAAGATAAGTTGGCAGGTGGCATCATATTCCTATCCATCAATCTCTAATTATGGAACGGATTTAAAAAATGTAAAATTAATTTTGAAGTGCATAAGACGCATGCTTTTTGGGGTTTTAATTTCCAGCAAAATCCATTTAAATACATTATCAGACCTTCAATATAACGTTCTTTTTTAAAGATAGTTCGATCCTCAAGTTTTGAAAATCAGCTTTTTAGAATTGGAGGTGCTCACAAAACTGTCACAGATTTCACGGGGTATTGTGTATTAATCTTCAAAGTAAATCAGTAAAATTATTTATATATGGAATTTTATCTATTTTTCAAATGCAAACTAGAGGTACATGTATTATGAGCAATGAGTTCACTTAATGATACCCACTGCCTCCCAAATAAATATAATAACAGTGTCCATTTTTTGAAGTTGAAATCACAAAATATGTGTCGGATCAAAAAGTATAATTGTAAAAAAGGAGGTGCACAAAGACAATATGTAATAAAGAATCTGTGAAAGTTAAATTTCACTCAGTGGTATAAGGGGAGTTGCGGATAAGAGATGGGTACCCCAAAAGCGTAACAGACAAACGGACGTACAGACGGACAAATCGATTACCATACACCGTCCCGTTTTTGAAGCGGGGGTATGATAAAAGTAGCAGTGGATTTTCATGTTCAATATTGATTAACAATAATATTTTTAGATTGATTACAATAGATATCAACTAAGGAGCAAATTGCTTTTATTGCACACATATCGGTATTTATGTTTCTTCATTTTACAGTTTTGACAAAAAATCCAACTATGTATAGAAAACATCTATAATTTTCTAAGTCTGATTTATACAAAACACTTAAGCAGAGAGTATACATGTATGTTGATCGTACAGAGTCCATATCAGAGGTGGGATCATGTGTCACGAAAGAGTGAACATCCCCTGCCAATCGGTCACTCCATCGTGTGCTTCTTGTCATATTCGGGGAAAAAAACTGAAAAATACACTTGTGTAAATAATGGCCTCACAATCAGTCTGAAAAAGTAGTCAATATTTGATATATTGTATTTGCTAAAAATGTCATTGTATTACAAAATGCTGATATTCTTGCTTCAGAAAGGTGTTTGTAAATAAATTACCTCCATTTAGAATTTTTTGTCATTTCGAAATGATTAGAAATTGGCTATACATAATTTTAAAAAAAATATACGAATATCCAAATAACTTTAAAATTAGAATAGTTTAAACAAAGCAAGTGAAACGTAGTATGATACATTTTTTAATCGAAATAAGTGGAAAAAAAAGATGTTCAGGATTATTTAAGCATTTTTATAAATATATTGTTTCAACTGACTGATAATTTTAATGTGCCGAAATCTGTACTTAGCTTTTGAATTCCTGACATTACAGAATAATCTTAAATCAGAATTAGATGTATATATTTAAAATGATTTTTCAAAAATTTCTTGTAAGAAGATTGGATATCATACATGGTTAGTTATCGGTAAATCATTCGAGAAATTTAAATAATTCTTAAAATTCCAAGTGATTGATTTTGATCTGAACTAATTGTGATAAATTCCTTAAAGGAGAACATGAAAACATAAAAAAAATATCATACCTTAGTTTATTCTGGTCATTATGTAACTACGCTTTGATGTACTGAGTAACATTAAAGGACATGGAATCTCTTGTATATAATAATATTTTGTGTACATACAACGTGAACTGTGATTTGTTATGTTTTCCAGGCATGTACTGTGACATAGGGCCTCCATCTCCTGCGTTGAGATTCCGATTATTTACATTAGGATCAAGTTTACCTGGGAGAAGATACGACCAGTGAAGGAATAGGAAATTGTTTGTCGCTTTGAATTAAAGAAAGATGTTGGAAACAGTATATTTAAGAAAATTGTCTTTATATTTATAGTTCAATAGGAATAATAAATAAATGTATGGTGAAAACATGATTTAAAATAAAATGTTGATCTTCAACATCTTTAAAATTTGCTTTAAAATCACCTCTCCGACCTGAAGAGTTGCGGTTATTTATAACTTAATTGATGTTCTTTTCCAATTCGTTATGTGGTTGTTAGGCTCGACATACAGAAACACATGTGTATCAATAGAGTATATAAGTAGCTAGAATCTTGTCATTTCATATCATGTCATTTCTTTTTTATTTTGGATAATATAGTTTCGATCATTTGTGGATTTCATTTTAATTTGTTTAATTTTCTACATTAAAGTACATTTGTGAATCCGTTAAGATGGTGTATTATATTCAGGTGATTCAGTTGAAGTATTTAATTAATTTACCTGCTGATCTGTACTCAAAATTAATTACCTTTCCTGCTTTGCTTCTCATTAAAAAACGTAAACACCCCAGCCCAAACTCATGTTTTACATTATCACTAATTCATTCCTTAAATATCTGTTACATTTAGGTAAATTACAATCATTAATATTCAATTAATTTTACAAATGTAAACTCATTTTGACCTATGTCACATTTGCAAATAAATGCGCAATGTCCGGAACTACTCAAACGTATAATATACTTGGGCCAATTGTTGCATGGCTCCATGTTCTAAACCCGTGAGGTGAGTAGTTAATCCTTAGGTCGTGGGTCCGAATATCTCCTTTCTTATCAACTAAAATTCTACATTAACATTTAATGCCTTTCGATGTTAACATCGGTACGACAATATCACTGTGCACGTATATATTCTATTTTGTGATATACTATTTTGATAAATCATACCCATGGAGTTTTTTAAATTAACATGTTCTCCTTATAAAAATGTTCATATGCACGTAACTTTATTTTTTATTATTCGTTATATTTTCATTATTTATCTACTTTTTTAAATGTAACAATGTGCTACTTTCAAAGCGAAATCCTCCTTTTATCAGGAAATATATATTCAATGCATATTATACAAAATATATAAGGTCATAAACAAACAGTATATAAATGCCTCTTAAAGCAGCTTCAAAGCTAATGATATATACAAATTCAGTAAAGTCTAAGAAAATGTTAATTCATATTTATGTACAATAGGAGGTGAGCTTAAAAGTTGTCAATATCTGCGATATTTATTGGAGTCCACATGACGAGATCCGCCACTAGATTTGAAGTGATGCAGTCGTGCGTGTGCAACGTAAGAATTTCTGTTGTAGGATAAGGTGGAATTGGCATTGTATAGAGAATCTGTGTTTTGTTTTCCCGCCAATGCAAGGTCTCTCCAGTCTCTGATTGGTCCATCGTCTTCCTGTTGTTTTTCGTGTTGTTTATTCCTAATGTATGTAATAATTAGAATAAACAACTTTATGACTGAATACTTATACAAGTCTCAAAAGAGTCTATACTGATTAAACAATTGACAGTAATTGAACAAAGCATTATATGAAAGTTTATTTGAAAATGATGAAGATAGTCTGTAACTGAGGCAAACATATACGAAAGACTTTTATATACAATTCAATGTTAGCTGTTTTTCTCATTGTTCAATCACAATGCGTAATAAAATTTCCAGTCAGCCCCCTAAAAATAAAAAGAAATGAATACTTACGATTTACTACATTTTCTGGCTACCAGTCCTATGATTATCATTAATAATACTATTCCAACAAAAGAAGCCGAGGCTCCAACGATCAAATGAGTGTTTGTCACTTTTGACTGAGTCGATTCTTCTACGGTATCTTTTGCATTAGATGATGTATTAGTGCCCAGAGGTTCATTGGATGTTTCTGTTGATTTCGAAGTTGATGTACTAAGGCTTGGTTTAAGCTCACTGGTTGTTGCAGCTGGAGATGTACCTTCTTCCGCAGTTGATTTGCCGTCAGTACTTATTACTGATACCGATGTCGTTGTTGATTTGTATGTTGATGACAGAGAGGAAGTCAATGTTTCTGTGTAATTTGTAGTTGTCGTTTTCCCTGTAGATGTTGTTTTTGTTGTTAAGCTTTCAGTTGTTTCTTTGTGGGCTGTAGTTGATGGTGATGTGATTGGTTCAGTAGTTGTTAAACTTTCAGTTGGTTCTTTGTTTGATGTAGTTGATGGCAATGTGATTGCCTCAGTAGTTGTTAAGCTTGCAGTTGTTGTTTCTTGGTTTGTTGTAGTTGGCAGGTTCGTAGTAAATGCTTGTGTTGTTTCCGGTGTCGTTGACGCCCATGTTGTTGGATTGGATGTTGATTCAGTTGTTGATATCACAGTAGTTGTATCTGGAGTTGAGGTTTGTACATTTTCCGTCATCTCTGTTGACTCAGTTGATGTTATTGTCGACTCTAATGTTGTTAATTCAATAGAAGACGATTCCAACTCCAAAGACGTGTATTTGGTTTCTCCAGTTGTGACTGGAGAGGTTCTTATTATATATGTTGTTTCGTCTTGTTCAGCAGTCGTTATAGAACTTGTAGTCTCTTCCATTTGTTCTGTTGAACTACTCCTCGTGGATTCTGTGTCAGTGTGAGTCATTGTTGTTGACATACTCTCTGTTGTTGTTGTTTGTCCACATGCTACATTGATAAAAAAATACAATTTATTATACTTAACTTTACTACATGTACTGTTAACAATTTTAATTGGAGCTCAAATCACATCCCCATACAATGCAAAAGGAAAATATAAAGTATGATAGTAAGATACTTGCATTGATTTTCTGTCCAGTTGAGTTGGTGATTTGTTGAATTGCAGTAAAGACACTCATTGGTTGAACTATTCTGGATCGGGCTAATGCACACACTATCGATGTAACAGAAATCGTCCTGCAAAAAATATATAAACAAGATTTTCCAGTTTAACGAATCATGTATACAAACACAAAAAAGATTTTTCAAATAGCTAGAAAAATTTAACACAAAACGTACCTTTAAGGTGAAATATACATTTCCAGATTCGTTGTGATACTCCTGACAGTGAGATTGATATATAACAACATTATACGTGTCTGTATAACGTACTCCGTCATTGGAAATATTAAACTTGATTTCGGTCGTCCAGATACCCGTTGTTTCATACAGAAGCGGGCAGTATCCCTCAAATAACGTCCTCTCTTGTAAATTCATCTGTCTTTGATGACTTTCTTCTGTTTGGTTAATCTTTGTCTGAAAAATAAAATTGAAAAAAAGTGTTATTGCCGAAAAATGAAATGATGATATAATGTTGTCAAAAGAACAAGTTTATTAACACTGAAGGATTAATTGTTTGTTTTTTTACGTCCCTTTTGAAAACATTTACCGTATAAAAACGTCATACAATAGCGGTGAAGAGCTTCAAATTTAGACGTTAACCTGGCCATTGAGTAAGGGATCATTATCGTAAAAACTTTTATCGTATCACATTAGACCAGCAATGCATTCAAGAGTCCAACAACTTTTAATTTAAAGTGCAAAACTTTTGACGAATGAACGAGCACTTTCTTTATTCATTATCTTAGGTTTGTTGCAGCCAAGGTTTAAATCGACGATGGCCCTATCACTTTGCAAGACATCTACATATTGAACGTTTATTATATATTCAAATGACAATCAGAAGTACCTGTTTCACAGTAAGATAGCATATTGAGTCCATGTTTTCAAAGAAATATTTTCCCATAATTGTTGCCTCTTTACATGTTTTAGAGGACAGATCACACAGTCCGGCCCCGGGAACGCTTGTTATGGTAGGAGGTGCGAATAAATCAAAGGAACAGTCGCTTCCCCCAAAGCCAGTGTCACAGGTGCAGTTACCTTAAAATGAAGATAGGGTAAACATATTGTCCACATCTGAGACGATCGTCAATAAAACGATGACTATGAAATCATTTTAACATACACAACTCTTATAATATATTTTTAAAATTTTAGAAAAAAAAATTGAAGCTTCTTTTAAAATTTATTCAATCTTATTCTTTATCCGTTGGATTTTGCAGATTATTTTTTTTTAATGAGAAGATAAGCAATTACAGTTTCTTTACTCGTATGATATAATATATGGCGTACCACCATCACACGTGCCACGTCCGGTACAATTGCTTGGACAGAGGTTTTGTATTGTATACGTTACTTCCGGTTCTGCCTCTTGCAGTGTGGCATTTAAAAGTACGAAAGTAGAACATTGCTGTAGAGCGGCTTCCACGTGAATCTGTGTTAGGTTATCATCCCCTGTCAACTGAAAACAGACATTGAATGTTTTCAATTCAAGCTTCTTTATGCAATGACGGACCACTTAAACAAACTTAAAACCAATGCCAGGGACGGAGGTGTTTGATTTTTTAAAAGCGTTTTTTTTCCTACCTGTTTTGTAGAGTTATATAGAAGAAAATCATTTGCTCTTAAGCGTCAATTCATTATAAGCCTGATCGCTCTAACTAAGTTTACTGTACATGTACAAGTTAATTGATGCTAGAACATAAGATACCGCAGTGTGTGCTCAAAACGCAATATAAAGGTCTAGTAGTAACTTACTCTTATGTCTTCAATGCAGTTGGATAAGGTCACATTACTAAGGTCAGTCACATGTAGTTGACAGGTGTTGTATTCAGGTGAATTTTCAAAAGCCTGTAGACAAACTCTCTCGGAGTATTCAGTCGTCTGTACGTAGGTTATCGTGCGTTTCTTTCTCTGAAATTGTTAAATAACATCTTATCAAGATGATACTATCGTTAATATGAAATTCAATATTTTGACATGTAATCAAAATGAATCTAGAGGAGTTCATGGCGAAAATAACTTCAAAGTATTGTAACATGTAATTGGAATAAATGTTAAGAATTAATTGCATACAAGTAAAGGATCTTTTTCCATGGACATATCGGAAACATCCCGTTTTCGTCTTCTGTTCTGTACAAGATCTACATTACACTCATACTGTTTGCCTCGGTTTGAGTTGCAGGGTGTAAACGTATTGTAGGAGCACTGGGTTTTACCGTCCTCCGTGCATGCGCAGTGAGGTACTAGAATTGAGGCCACTGATTGCAAACTGCTATAAACTAAGGAGTTACCACTGAAGAGATTTTCGTTGTCCGGAATCCTAGGTATAAAGGAAATGGTTAACAGATTTTATTTTATATCGGATGAATCACGCTACATTCCTATTTTTTGTCAACGTGGGTCCTTAAACTTACATCCATGACTCAGAGAAGTCATTAGGATAACTCTGACTGATGTCGTCTGTAATGCTACTGTTTCGCCTTCTGAAGTCGTTTTCCCTATCACCATCAAAGTATCCACATAAACCATCAGCATTTCCTATATCCATTGCAGAGGGGAGGATCTCTAGGTCGATGTTATAATGTCCACTCCATTCCATGATATAAATGGCAAGTGACGTACCAGTGGGGAAATATATCTGAATATATATGCTTATTAATAATTATACAATGTAAATATAAAATAAAATGTATGTATTTTGGAGTAGTATACACATGAAAAAACATTACTGGAACCAGAACAAAACTGTGAAGTACATTTGCAATCGTAAACATGTACTTGTTAAGAAAGCGTTTTCTCTATACAGTACATACATGTACAAGTAAAAAGATTAATTAAGTAACTAATTCGTGAGCGATTTCTCTTTAATTTTCTTTTTGTCCGCTAGAACTTTAACCTTGCCAATAACTTTGAACGCTTGATGCAAGAGCTTTTGTGACTAAGCATTTATGTAGGTACTAATGTATTTGACTCCCTTAGACCGTTATAGACGTTTGCGAAATTTACCATACATTACTTTAATTATCCTTGGCTGTAAGGTTTGAACGGCGTATTATAAGGCTTTTGTATTCCATTGGAGTATTCCATGTGTCAAGACAATTCTTCATTGATACAACAATTTTTTACTTTTTAACATTGGCATTAGAATTTTATCTTCTAAAAAACATAACCTCTACCATAACTGGTATGATGGATTTACGGACTTTATTATACAATACCTTATGTATATATTTATTTGTTAACACTTAACATATTGTTAACATACATGTTTCAGTGCACTTTACTAAAGGTAGGATTCTTCTTTAGTTTTTGAGTGGATAAAATATTCAATATATATTTGCTTATATGTCTTATATATCTAGGTGAAAGAGATTTAAAAGACCATCTTTTTCTTTCCTCATCACAATTGTACAACTTTAAATAGAATTGGTAAATTGTGTTGGAAAACTAGCTTTGACTATATTTTTGGGGGAATGGTGGCGTATGAAAATATCTTTTTTCTGCCTCTCAAAATTATTATAGAACAACGAATTTAGTTATAATTTTTACACAATCGAAGACTAGAAGAATTTTTCAAATGTTAACTAGATGAGTAATAAGGAACTTAAGTTTTAAAATATATCAAATAAATTTGAATTTCCAAACAAACTACATTTATGTTAGTTTTTAAAATCTTACAATCTAAGTGCAGATATGAGCAAAAAATTCATAGAAAGTGTTTTTACTCTTATACTAAACGTTCAAAACTTTTTTGTTTTTGTACCATTTTTGTATATCTCTATAGGACTTTTTTACCATATGTGAAAATACGAAAACTTTAAATATATGGCGCATATAAAAATAACTTAAATATCATAAAAATGTAAGATAAATAAAGAAAATTCGGATGAGCCAAAATCCATTTCTGTTAAACTATTTGTGTCAAATTGGGTAATATCATCTCATAGACCCTATATGTTAATATCTTTTTATGAAAATAGAAAAAAACATTTTATCTTTGGAAATAGAAGACACTATCTCATGATTGGATGCAGTTATTTTTTATTCTTAATGACCATGGAAAAGGTAATGACCTTTACCTGACCTTGACTTTAATATAAAACGGTAAATCTTATCTAATTGATACCATCACTTAGTAATATTGTCATCTTGATTCTGTGAGAATTTCAAAAATTTTTAAATACAAGAAATACAGTTTTGTGTGCGAAGAATCTTACCTTAATGGAAAGAATTTTGTTCTGACTTTGTTTAACGTTCTAACCTTGTAATACTTGTCGTGGATTTTTGTGACTTTTAAAACATTGTCCTCACACAGCTCATAGCTGATGACGTTATTTTCTCCACACAAATCTATGAGGAAGACATCTCTTCCTGCTCTAGCTGCGACTGCGCAGACGCACCAAGGACCATCGTATGAAGGGATACAAAGATGATGTTTAGATTGAATCTGAAATTTAGTTAAAAGTTTTTAGAAAAAAAAATAAATAACTCAGACCATCATTGAAAAAAAAGCATGTTTGCCAAATTTATACAGACTGACTAAAATTTCCCTGACCTTTTCCTTTTACGTACAAAATAGAAATAATTTTTAAACGTCATTTCCTTGTATTCTGGTTTAAGGTCAGACGACACGTTCCTCAAAAATAAATAATTTTTTTGCAATAATTTGTCATTGAAGTCTGGATATTAAAGGAATTTTTCTCACATAAAATTAAGGCACCATACCAGACATTTGGCCATGATAGCACAGGGTGATGTTTCCAATAAATCCCACATGGGTAATCAACTGATTGGCCAGTATCACAATTTTTGTTGTACTCATATTTTAATAACATATTGAAAACAATGTTGAAATCCCAAGAGAATGACAAAAATGTATATTTTTTATATAATAACAAGAAATGCAAGAGGAATGTGTCGTCTGACCTTAAAATATACTCCCTACCAACCCGATGCTTTCCAAGTCGCGAAATTAAGGGCAAGCAAACATATTTAAAGAGGGGTTCACATGAATGTATGCCTAAGTTTCTATCCTCTGGCATCATTTAGACATACCCGGCTTTTGGTAAAAAACAAAACAATTAGTGATTAATGTTTATGTGTAAATACTTCAGGTACGTAATTAATAGCCATTCTCTGTAACCACTTAAACTTCGTTGCCACGCATGGTCACCGATTTTGATGAAACTTCACCCATGCTTAGTAATTGACACCAGAAACAAATATCAAACAAAATTTCGTTGCTAAGTGTCTCGGTTGCTATGGCAACAGCCAGAAAAGTTTGAAAAATCGAGATTTTCAACCACTTTAAATCTTCACTGTGGCTTAATAAAAACTAGAAAAAACAAACCAACCATTCTCACAAAAACATGACACCTTGATGTCACTTATACTGTAAAGAAACTGTTTAGATTATATCTCTAAGTAAGTGGTAACCAAGGGTACATTTGGAATACATTTAAAATGCTGAAATATGCTAAAAAACACTCCGTATTCACTAATGGTAGGTGTTACATGCTCAAACTCAATCCAGGACTTAAGAAAAACAATGAAAATGTTTGACCTTAAGTACATAAGTATAAGCAATGTTATTCTATAAATAACTTTTATGGTTGCCATGGTAACACAGTGTAACCACGCAAAACCAGTAACTAAGATTGGGTTAATGCTACGGTCTTGAGGAAAAACATAAAAATTCAAGACTTGCAAATATGCATCCTTAGGACCTTGCAATACCAAAACCATAAGGAAAATTGGGTATAATTGCTACTTTGCAGTGTTACCATGGAAACAAAGTACCAGTGCTTAAAAGTGAAATTTTTCCGCTGCATTAAGAATTAAATTGCCATATAATCAAGAAACAAATTAAAGGACTCAGCTTGAATAGTACTTATCTGTTAGAACTGAAGTTGAATATCATATATTGATAAAGTTTGATGAAGAAAACAACACTGTTGCTATGGTTACCAAGAAGGGAAAATGTTCGATTTTGTGAACTTTATATCAATATTAAACCCTGTGTGCCAATTTCTTGCATCCACTTAGAGATAGGATGATAGTCAAAATTAAAAGTCAGGTTAGCTGTTAATAAATATCAATCATAAAAGTTTTGGGAATCTACATTTAAGGGTACGTATCCAAGGAAAGAAAATATTTTTCAGGTTTTTTAAGCATATATTTTCTGCTTATTTCCATAGCAACGCTCTATTTAAAGAATCTAATCTGAATTTTTTCAAATGGGAAAACTAGGAACACACCAACATCTTTAAAAATTGATCATTAGTTATGAGGAAATATGCTTTTTTTAAAAGATAGGATCAGATTTAAACATACAGAGTGCTACTTTGAAGGCTCTCTGTGGTATAAAAACCTTGGCAACCATTGCCATCCAAAATGAATTATCATATTTTGTTCTTGGTATATGTTTCAAGGCTTTTTTTTCTATTATTTGGTCACATTTCATCCCATAATTGCTTTTTATTTTTACGTGTATGACTTTATAAAATTCAAAGAATATTTTTTTTTTACTTTTGAATACTTTGTTACCATAGTAACGTA